TTAGTAAACATTTGTTAAACAAATGCATAGATGACTGTATTTAAAGGACACGGGGAGGGGAAGGCAATACAGTGTAAAACCGACAAACCACAAAACAGCGTGGAAGTATGTTGCTTACTATTATGGAGGCAAATAACAAAGCAGCCTAAAGAATTTGAAGAAGTTGCCCCTGGGGCATGAGATGAGGTGGGGAGAGGTGTGGCCAGGACTGCTGCTCTTCACTGTGAGCCTTCTAGAGACAGCTAAATATTTTAAAATGTATAAATTCCTTTATCAAAAATAAAGCATTTTGAATCACTTAAATTATTTATATAATTTTTATAACTCTGTGTTGGTATTTCTTCATGTTTAAATATTAAACATAAAGAGCCTCATGTTCAAAAATTAAGCCTCAAAATTAAAAAAAAAGTGTACCTGGCCCCTGCGGCCCACCTGCTGCTCCTCCACGCGGGCTCCCACAAAGGAAGAGGGGCACTAGTTAGTTTTGCCCGTCATGGTTTGGGCTGGGCCCCTCAGGGTCCTGCCCTGGGTGAGGTCCTGAGCCCTGGGTGGGAGTGGTAGAGGACCTACACACCCGGAGCCGGCTGGGCTGGCAGGATGCCTTCCCACGGGGCTGCTGCTGAGCCATCCCACCAGCCTAGCCCCAGCTGCCCTGCTAACAAGGCCCTAGGGAGCTGGCAGGGCACCCTTCCTGTCCCCAGGGCTCCAGATGCTGCCTGTCACCAGTCCCCTCAGGCACCTCAGCTCCAGGCTCCAGAGAGAGGCTGGCACTGCCAGAAAGGCAGGGGTTCCCCTCCCCACCCCCACCCGTCAACAGCTCAATAGCTCTACCCACAACCCTCCCCAGGGACTCCAGGGCACACCTGTTTGCCAGGGCCAACACGGGCCGTGCTTACACCCAGCAAGGCCCCAAAGAAGCTCCCTGGCCTGCCCAAAGCAGGGCCTGCAGTGGAAGTGGTGCCTTGCCCCAGCCCCAGGTGGGAGAATTCATTAATTTCCTCAGCACAGGCCTGCAGCTATTTAATTGCTGGAATGAAAAGGTTTCCCATGAAACCCAACACCTAGCCCTCCCCACCAAGAGAATGGAAACTGCAACCCAGCAGGCCTCAGCTGGAGTCAAAAACAGGGGTCCTTCAGCTTAAGAGCTGGGGCTCCCTGAGTGACCCCTGCTTCTACTCAGGCACACACCTGCAAGCACACACACACACACACACCCCATAAGGATACACACTCATACTCCTGCTACCTCCACACTCACAGTGCATGTGCAACCAAAGTGTGCAAGCACATGTGTGCCCCGCTGCCCTCTGGCTCTGCAGGTGTCTGTGCACATGTGTAACTCACGTGATGGTTGCCAGCATATTTGCACATGCACACCCCTCACACCCACATCCACTAGCAGAGTATGTTTTCAAACTTATTTAGCATTAGCAGAACCCTTTTGTTAGGTGAAACCTTGCAAGGACACAGCAGATGTACAGACTAAACATGGGTGCTAGAGAAGAAAGGAGAGGGGCCCAGAGCTCAAGGCCTTGCCAGCTCAGCCTTCGTCTCTCCTCCAGCCCCAGGGGGATAGCAGGAGTCTGCTGTGGTCACTACTTCTCAGTCCTCTCACCTGACCAGGAGGTGTAGGGACAGGTATGCCTGAGTCATTCAAGGGGGAAGGAGGCAGAATGCTTCCTAAAGAGGAGTTAAGCGGGTGGGGGTGGCACCTGCTGACTCTCACTCCACCCTGCCTCCTCCCTCCTGTCCCACGCATTCCCTCCCCTCAACCCAGACACATTGATTTTTGGTTTCCGAGGTTTGTGGCTCCCTCCCCTGAGCTTCCCAACTCACCAGCTGTGGTGACAGCCCACACCGGAACAGCTTACTTTATGGGGGGCTGGAATCACAGATGCTCTTAAACACAACAGGTACCTTGGGTGGGGTAGCCTCTGTCTGAGTATTCAGGGGCCCCAAATCCCATTTTGCTGCCTCTAGGCCAGAGGGATGAACTGGGGAAAGCAGGAAGGAAGTCCATGGTGGAGGCAGCCCCAGGAAGAAGGATGTTGCCCTAGGACCACAGCCTGGCCCCCTCCAGAGTGCCTGTGGCCAGAGGTAAGATCCTGCGCCCCTGGCCCTCCCACAGGAAGCAATACAACCTAACCTCCACCTCTCACCCTCAGGGAACACCAGAGACTTGTGACTCCAGAACCAGGGCCACGGCCAGCTGGCTGTGCCAACTCAGGGCTTTGCCCACCAAGAGGGAGCTGGTGCACCCGCTGGTCTGCAACCCCAGTCCCTTCCCAACCTGGCAGAGCATATGCAAGGCAGGAGACAGGACCCAGCAAGCACATACTGCTGGGTGCTAGCTAAAAGGGGTCATGGACCCTCCCTTCACCAAAAAAAAAAAAAACACCCGCTCAGCACCTCCCATCTCCCTACCACTCCCAGCTTCCAGCCCCCAAAAGAGCTCAGGGTGGGGACTGAGCAGAACTCATGAACCTGCTCTGAAGCCCGCCATGCCATCCCCTCCCTGGGCAGACAGCATTGCTAAGCTTGCCCACAGGAGGGCCTCTGTGGGGCTTTCTTGGAGTGAAGAAGAGGCAGCTGTGCCAAGTGAAGACCAGGGAAACCCAGATAGAGGAAAGCCTGGCTGCTTTGATAGTTGGTGCCAGGAGAACCAGAGGTCAGGGCCCCTCCCCAAGCTAGAATCCCAGGGGTCTATGATGGTTTTATGAAGTTAGGTGGCTACCCCCAGGTCTATGCCCTGCAAGAAATGCCTGGGTTGGGCACCGCTGGCTCTCCCTGGGAGCCCGAGACCTGGGGACTGTGCAGTGCATATTTGGATGCACATGTCATTCTAGGTCAGTCCTGGAGTGAAGATGCAGCCAGGGGCTGCTCCCGCCCAGACTGTCTGGCACTCCCCTTCCTGGTTGCCCAGAGTGAAGGAGAGCACTGGCCTGATTCCTTTGTGGTTGGACAAGGGTTAACTTCCACCAGTGCCCTATATTCCCCCTGGCCTGGATCAGGGCACTCGGTGTCCATTTCAAGGAGACACTAACTCACCCTGGTAGGTGGGGGTGGGGCAGTGGGAGAGTGGGATGGGTGAACCTGGTGCTGGTTTCTGTGGCAGCCCGAGGGGAGGAAAAGAGGAACACACTCAGCAGCCCAAAACCACCCCTACCTGCAGCAGGCTGGCCACCTAACCTCACCCCAGTAGGATGACTGCTGACCTGAGCCCAGCACGTCAGAGAGGCCCAGGTGAAAGAGCCTTTTCTTCTAGGGCACTTTGCCTCTGTCCAATCTCTTCAAGAAGACCACCAAGCCTCCAGCAAAGGAGTGTGACTGAGGCACTCAGCTATTAGCCCTCCAACAGCCCTTCAGTCTGCCACCATCCCACCAGGAAGTCCCTCTCAGAGGAGCCTTAAATCTTTCCAGCTGTTACCTCTATCAGAGACTTTCTTCTTTTGCCCTCAGGGGACAAAAGCAGAGAAGAGCTGGAAGAGCCTGCACTGTCTGTGTCTCCGCACCCTGCACACTACACTGTATTTCCTCGTTCACTCTCGCATCACCACAGCGGGGCTCTCCTTGAGGGCAGGGGCCGTTCACCACTGCTCCTCCGGACCTACCACTCGGAGCTCATTTCCCGTACCAGGCCTCCCTGGCTGAAATCCACTTCCTCGATGATGGACAAATAAAGACAAGGTCTGAGAAACAATGTGGAACTTCCTGTATAAGCAGAGGCAGAATGGAAGTGGACACCCCAACCAGCCCAGAGGCTTGGAGGCTCAAGTCACCCCAACATTTCCTGGGACTGCTCTGCAGAGACGGTGCTGTGCTGGCCTGGGGCACTCAGTGGTAGACTTCAGGGACACACCTTGACCCTCACCCGGTTCACTGTCTGGTGATGTTCTCTTCCCTTGGGAAGCAGGCAGCTGTTCAGACTAAACTTCCTGTGACTCAGGAAGTGGTACTCAAAGGGGGCAAATCCTGAGTGAACCACTCCCAGCTTGTGGCCCCCGGAGGTCTTACACCCAGCCAAGTCTGCAGGCTTCCACCTGAGGCAACCCAGGACAGGCTGGGCCCATCTCTGGCTCCTGCTTTCCCACCCTGGAGAGTGAATTGCCCATGCCATAAGTGCCTACCTGTGGCCTGAGGGCCAAGGGCAGAGTTTGCAACTACCTGTGACCTGTGCCTGCCTTGGTCCTGAAGAGTAGCCAGGAGACCCCATCTTCTTGGAAGCCCCTTACCCAGCCAAAGCTGGTTGACCCATCCATTCTCACTGACTAGCAGGAGCCAGCGAGCCTTCTGCGTGTGCAGAACCTCAGATCTTTCCTGTGGCCAGTGGCTCCTAGCTTCTTCAGAGCCTAGAAGCCTGGCCGAGCACCAGAGGACATGAGAGCGCCTTTCAGCACCTGGACAAGGCCCTTGGCGCTTCCCCAAGAGGGTCTCTCTCCAATCCCAAGCTGGGTCTGGGGTCTGTGGGATCCTGGGGCTCTGCCCAGTCTGAGAAAATAGAAGCACTCACAGTGAGGGCAGAGGGCACTGGGTGGGGCTGGGATGCCTGGGAATGTCACACAGCCTATTCTCTGACCCGTGACTTGTGACACCCCCCCTCTTCTTTCCACTCAGGCCTTGCCCACCTCCGCACACTCACCCGGGAGGTGTCACTCGGCTGAGTGGGGCGGACTCTCCCACCACACAGAACACCACAGACGGAGCCGGCAGCCCCTCCCCAAAGCCCTCACTGCCCCGACGAGCAGGAACGCAGTGGTCCTCTGCCCCAATCTGAGAGGGTCTGGGACACGTGTGGGCGCCCGTCCCGGCAGAGGGGAGGGGGCGGGGGGCCGCTCCCATCACCCTCTCCCGGTCAACAAGCAACACAAACGCCGCGGCTCGAACAAAGAAGAGCTGCAAACTCGCTGGGGAGGCGGGACAACCCATGCCGCGCCCCCTCCCCAAGCCGAGCAGGCGTGCCCGGCCGTAGGGTCCCCGCGGTGCCCCGACGGCGCTCTTACCTGGCCCGCGCGGACCTCTTTCTCCAGCTCGCGGTGACGGTTGTGCCACACCAGGTAGTGCAGCGGGTACTTGCCCTCCGGCCCCTTCCTAGCGGAGGCGCTGGCGGGGATCATCGCCTGCTCCTCATGCCGGGGCCGCGGCGCCCGGCCCGGGAGAAGGGACGGCGCCGGAGCCCGGGCCAGAGGCCGTGGGGCAGGGAGCCGGCGCTGTCTGCTCCCGAGGCTGCAGCTCGGGCATGTGCGAGCGGCGCCGGCGGGCGGGGGCGGCGCGCCCGGCGCGAGGCGAGCGGCGCGGGCCGCGGGCGTCCTCGCGAGGCGGCGACGGCGGGCGACGCGAAGAGGCCCCCACCCGACCGGAGAGGACGCGGGCACTCGGTGGCGCGCCTCGCCTCCCACACCCCCGCACACAAAGACGCCGCTCGACTGAAGGAGCAGGCGCCCGCAGCGGGCGCGGGGGCGCACGGGGCGCGGAGCCCCGGAGACGCCGCCGCCACCGCAGGGACGCGCTCCCGCAGCCCCTGGCTTCCCGCAGCCGCATACCCCGGCCCTCAGCCCGAGCTGCCGGCGAGGGATGCGGGGCTGCAGGAAAGAGAGGAGGGGACCCGAGTGCCCGAAGCAGAGCCTGTTATAACTCGGCCCCGCAGCACTATGGGGCTTGTAGTCCACCTCGTGCAAATGGGGGTGGCGAGGGGCCGGAGGACGTCCCGCACTGGCACCCTCATCCCGTGAAAGCGTGGGGGAGGGAATCGAGCCTGACAGAAACGGAGGCAGCGTCCTGACGCCAGGTGGGCTGGGACGCAACCCCACCCAGTAGCGTTTTGCTTTTTGCTGGGGAAGGAAGGGGTACGGGCCTCGCTTCAGCATTGGGGGAAGTGGGAAGGTGTGGCCTTCAGGATTGAATTTGGGTCCCAGTGGAACGAGAGAAGACATCCACATTCCCAGAAGAGTGACTGATGGGGGACTCCTGAGAAAGGTGAGGGACATTAGTACTAAGGGTTATTGGAGCAACCAGGGGTCTGGCGCCTGAATTATTACGTAGGAGTTTTCCCTGCCCTGTTATAAAATTAAACTCCATCTTCCACACTTGACATTGGAAAGAGAATGTCCACTTAGCCTGAGCGGACAGTCGCCCTTCATCATATACTGTCCTTTGCAAGGATCAGAGTGGGGCTGGGCAGAGAAAGCAGCAGGTGGCAGCTCCCAACCTCCACCCCCCGTGTGGTCCCCTTAGGAGGGGAAGTGACTGATTTCAGAGACTGTTTCCTTCCTAAATAACTCCAGGGCAGAAAGATCCTTCCAGAAGGGTCCCTGCAGATGCTGTGGTAAAAGTGGATTTGGTCTCTATAACCACCATTGTAAGGGCGGGAAGGACCTAGAAGCTTGGTCCAGCCCACGGAGGGAAGAGGGACTGGGATGTTAGCAAGATCTGAGTTAGAATCCCTCCTTATTAATGGACTGACTTTAAGAAAATTTGTTAAATTTTCTGGCTTCTGAGACCACTCACCTCTAAAATGAGGCTGGAAACTACCTCCTAAAACGAGCTAAGGGTAGCAACTACCCTGAGAACGGCGCAGCCCTCTGCCAACTAGGTGGACAGACAGGTGGCGGGGACCAGGCATAATGCCTTGATGAGCCCACCTTACAAGATCAGAATAAGGAATTCCACACCAGCCCTACTTAGAACAATATAAGAAGTGTTTGTGTGGGAAGTGCTAGCAAAAGCTTGCAAACTCTCCGCTCCTCTCTCTGGCTTCTTTGTGTGGTCTGCTTTCCTCTACACACCCTGCGGTGGTGCCAGGCCCGGGAAGGCTGAGGGATGAGTATACGGCCTCGCCCCTTTCTCCAGCCTGGGAGGAGCCAGTTGGCGTCTTTGGCAGCCGGGGACCTCTGCCTACCTCTGCCACGAGGGGTCAGCAGAGTGTCGTGGTTACATCTCGAGTTGAGGAGGGGGCTGGTGAGGGAAAGGGACCGCTAGGAGTGGCCGGAAGAATGCCTGTAGATTTCCTTATTAAATTGTTTTTAGAACCTTGTGTGTGATTTCTCTTTAACTGTTCTGTTTCCTGAGGTGGCAACATCTCCAAAGAGAAATCCTGAAAACCCTTTTATCCCTAGTTCAGGCCTAGGCTGTGGCGGGGCTGGGGGCTTCTGGGACAAAATTTGGAGAGTACATCCGTGTCTGGGCTACTTCCAGGTAGTCCTGGGCCAACCAGGAGGTAGGGCGGGGGAACGGAGTGAATCACCCCTTTTCCCCTGAAAAATCTTGGAGTTCAAGGGAGAGGGTAGTTCAGACTAGATTGGGAGCTATGCCCTGGGCAGCTGGTTGTCTTTTTTGCCAGGCAGCCATGCATAAACGAAACCTAGGTCGCTTTTTCTCTGGCCTGCGCGCTCCAGCTGCCACGTGCTCGAGACGCGCCCACACAGGAGAGAAACAAAGACAACCAAGCGACGAGGCTGCAAGCAGCCGCCTCGACATTTAATAAATGAAATTCCATAGCTGGGGGGTCGATCGGGTGAATGGGCGGCCACCGCTGGTCGGCTCTACGACCGGTTTGGGTGGCTCGGCTACCTCTCCCGTTGCCCGGGCTGGGGTCACCAAGCCCACGGACCGCCTTCTCGGTGCGGGTGCAGCGCCGGGCCACGGGGCGGCAAGTGGTGTCCCACCCCTCGAGGTATCCTTGCTTAGAGAAACCCCGCGAGCCAGCGACTGGCTGTGAGGGAAAGGGAGGCCTTCAAGATTTTTTTTAAGGTGTGATTTTAAAAATATCCCGTGGATCGCTATTTCAAAAAATCTTGTCAATCTGGGCTGCAGCGAAAGGCGATGGAGGCAGCTTTGCATGTATTTCGGGTGGTGTGACTCATGAGCATTACTTTGTTTCCCCCTGGGAAGCAGCCTGTCCACCCACAAGTCACTGCTGCCCTGGCACCGCTGGGATAAAATCGACCAGCTCAGGCACCCCTGCCCAAGGCCTACCCCCACCCCTCACCCTGGTTACTGAGCAGGATCCTGCCGCTTGGGAACTCTCTCCTAATCGTGTCACCACTGACCTGCCCCCCAAACCTGGTCTTGGGCACCCTTGCCCACCCCCCACCCCACCGGCCCCAAGCAGCGTGCTCTGGCTTTTCACTGCTGCAGGTATGGGGGCTGGGTGCACGCCAGACACACGTGTTTGGGGGAGCATGCTCAGTGCACGGGTGCACCCACGTGCAGCCTGCGCCTTAGCTCCCTGTCTGCACCCCCCCCCCCGCAACCTGCCGAGTCTTTATGTGAAGTCCAAGAAGAAAAGCTGCCACAAATATAAAAGTCCCTGCATATTATATGCACATGCCCTGGACACAAGCCTCTGGTAGCCCAGAAACACTGTGGATGTACACGAAACGGACAAGTGGATATTACTGCACACAGGCACAGTGGTCACTCCTCGGGAGGTCTATAAAACACCGCCCAGATTCCTTCCTCTCTGGAGGCAAGCACTGAGGAAGAATAGATTTATTCTTATCCCGGAGGCAGGGAGTTCACTGCATGACCTCTCTGGCACCTGAGCGTCCATATTGTTAGCGGTGTGCACAGTCAGCAAGTGTGAGCGCGCACACACACCTGGACACACTGATGTGGACACAAGGGAGACCAGGACGCACACTTCACCCCAACCAGAGATAAGCGAATACACCAAACTACAGTCCTTACAGGAGAAGGAGCCTGGGCCTCCAGCTCCTTACTTTTGTTCCAAATTCCCAGGGACCACTGTCCTAGGGCCGGAGCGACGGGCCACCCCCCACCTCGCAAGTGAAGGGGATAGGGCCGACTCACACTGCCTCCGGGTCAGGGAAACGCCGGAGCAGGGGCCAGGGCTGCAGGCGACACTGTCCGCTGAAGCCTAGCGGCGGCCGCGGCCCCTTTAAGTGCCCCCGCCCCCTCCCGCCCTCACTCCCAGCTTCCTTTCTCCTGGAGGCGCGGCCAGCAGGGCGGGTGTGCGGGCTGCCCCTCCCCCGGTGGGCAGGGCCTGTGCTGCTTCCTGCAGGAGCGGCTGGGAGCCGCGCAAGGGGCGGAGAGAGCGAGCGCGAGTGGCGGCGGGGCGGCGCGGGGTGGCGCGGGGCGGAGGGCGCCCGAGGGCGAGCGGGCAGGCGGGCACGGCGGGTTCCGGGCCAGCCCAGGGGGCGGTCGGTTGGCCGGGGCGCGGAGCCTAGCCGGGGCCTCGCCGGAGCCGGGCCGGGCAGTAGGGGCCGCCGCCGCCTGGGCCCGCCGCCGCCCGGGCCCGCCGCCCGCGCCCCCCACGCTGGCCCAGAGGGCTGGGGCCGCGTCGCCGCTGAGGATGTCCCGGAAGGGGCCGCGAGCGGAGGTGTGTGCGGACTGCAGCGCCCCGGGTAAGCAGGCCCTGGCCGGGGGCGGGACCGCGTACCGAGGCTGCCGCCGGGCGGGCGCCGGGGCCTGGCGGGAGCGCCGTGCGGGGCCAGAGGGCGGGGTGGGGCTGGGGGCTGCGGCCTTCAGCCTCCGTCCCCGCCCGGGCCACTGCGGTGTCGCGTCCTTGGCGAGAGAGCCGGGCTGGGGGGCCCTTGTTCCCTCGCGTCCGCGGACAGGCGAGGAAGGACATTCCCGGAGCCGCCTCCCACCCCTCAGTCAGAGGGAGACGGGCAGCTAGCTACCCCCCGCCCCCATCTCAATATCCAAACGGAAGCGCCAGCCTGGGGTGGCCGGAGGGCTGTGGCGGAGGCCGCCAGGATTTAGGAGGTGGGGGCGATTGTGGTTTTGTGTCATATTAGTGCCACCCCCGCGCCTTGCACCTGCTGCTCGCATGGTCTGCTGGCCCGTTGGGGTGGCGGAGGGCAAGGGGCAGAGAGCTGGGCAGATGGGCCGGGGGGAGGGGGGTCTTGGATACTGTTTCCTCCGGAGCAGATGAGGGGGTGGCTACTTCTAGAACTCCCTGCCCCTGGCTCCCAAGGCTGGGTCTCCTTGCAGGGCCTGTTGTTCAGGACCAGTGTGAGCCTCGGTATCTTTCCCGGAGGCATCCCCAGGCCGCCTGGTGACTGGGAGCAACTAGACTCGGCTTTTCCTGTGCCTCAGTAAGGCCGACTTGGGAAGATGAGCTTGGCATTGCCCCAGCTTTGGCACAGGCCCCTCCTGGTCCCCGAGCCT